CTCTCTCTCTCTCTCTCTCTCTCTCTCTCTCTCTCTCTCTCTCTCTCTCTCTCTCTCTCTCTCTCTCTCTCTCTCTCTCTCTCTCTCTCTCTCTCTCTCTCTCTCTCTCTCTCTCTCTCTCTCTCTCTCTCTCTCTCTCTCTCTCTCTCTCTCTCTCTCTCTCTCTCTTTCTCTCTCTTCCGCCGAGTACGGAGACAAACAGGCGATCGATCGCTGTGCGACGAGAGATTGTCCGTTTCCGGTGTGTAGCGATCGATCGGTGTGTAGCAGAAATGCGAGTTTCGTTGCTTGACGATTTATGGGATAAAGTTGAGCGAGCGGGCGCGTAAATTTCCAAAAGCCGGCATCGGTCTCTCAGCCGACTCGGCACCGCGGCAGTTGGAGATCGGACGGGAGAACGGGGGGAGGGGAATCTGCTAATCACACAGCGCGATTCGACCCGAGACTGGACTCGGTCTCTTTGCGACAAACAATCGCTGTAAACAGACGATTAGAAAGGACGTAGCAAAAATATTGAAGAGTCACTCTCTTCTTTTCTTTTTGTATTCCTCCCCCCTCAACTAGAGTCCCGAGCGGACGATGCTTACAAACGAACACTACACGGTAGCACGCTAAATATATATATTAAGCTCTGATTAAGTAACAGCACAGCCGATTTCGAGCGGTAATGAAAATTCGACGAAGAGCGCGCGCGCTCGCCCGTGCGTTAAGCTCTGATTAAATAGCAGCACAGCCAATTTTTCAATTATATGTTTAATTAAAGGTCCGATTAACGTCCGCGTACACCGACTTTCCAACTTTCCGACTTTTCGATTCTTGTTCACGCGCGTTTTTCTTCGTTTCTTCGTGAAAATGGATCCTTTCCCTCCTCGTGCACTCAGCTTTTTTTACTTTCCTGGCGAAATTTTTCACCCGGCAGCGATTCGTTGATCTCTCGCGGCGATATCTTGCCAATGGACCAAGTGCGCGCAGCACTTTTCGTTCGCGAACACGCGGCAAAACTTTGATATGTGTGTCGCTTTCCCGAGTGCTTCGCGACGCCGATGGAAATATAGGCGTCCCGGTAGTCAAGGCACTGGACATGCGCACCGAATACGAGAGTCGTACTCGTACTCTCGGTGGGCTTGGAAGGATTCGGCGAATGGCGTGTGCAAGTAATCTTGAAGTGACCCGTGCTTTCGCACAGAATATCTCGGAGAATTCTTGCTTTCGAATCCGATCGGACCGCTTATCTATCCCGAAGGTATTTCGTTGTATCTTCAAAGCGATTATCGATTTTTCAACCTTTTTAGACGAATCGTATCCTTTGCTTTCTTTACTAGAGCTGTAAGACTGTCTCCATTATTATTGCTTAGTTCTTTCCTATTCTCGATTGATCGTACAACTTGGAAGTTTCCTTCCTTAGATGCTCGTTCTCGATTAAACTCGTGTCACTGTTCCTTGCGATTACTTAACAATCTTTATTGCAACTCTAAAAATAAACGATTATTACCGATATTTTCCGATATTCTCGGTCGATCATATTACTATCAGATTCTTATACTTTCAGCTTTTACCCATTTCAATATTGCTCTGTCTGCCTGCTCGATAACAAATGAAAAGCGAACAGGTTTTCTAAATCGAAATACATAGCAATCTTGTGTGTTACGACTTTTTGCAATCCTCGCGATAGCAATCTATGCTAATGTTTTATAATTACGTGTGTTAAAGTCTCGTGTTGCTCGCACGTCACGTCTCTATAGCTCTCTCTCTCTCTCTCTCTTTCTCTCTCTCTCTCTCTCTCTCTCTCTCTTCTCTCTCTCTCTCTCTCTCTCTCTCTTTCTCTCTCTCCCCCTCTCTCTCTTCTATCCTCTATAGCCGGCTCTATAGTCTCAGTTTCGTCCCGAGTACAAAATCCTTTTCGTAGAAAAGAATCGATTGAAATTTGCTTTATCGTCCTCGATTATCCGCGATCCGTTCAAGCACCTCGATTAGCATAAAATCGAGAAGCTTTAACTAGAGCGAAAAATTCCGTTCATAGATGACGTATCGCCACCGTCTATATATAATGTACTTGGTACCATACGGTGCAGAGACGCGTTCCTCGTACGGACGTAAACTGTCCTTATTATGTCGAGCCGACCACCGCTGCCGTCGCGGCACATTTCGGAAGGCGGAATTTACTACATTGGGCGATATATCGATTGGCCGGCCCGCTGTGCACGAGCCGCAACGAATCGAGCGGAAAACGCGAGTTCTCTCCCGTGCAATCGCCATCGGCGCACAATATAGCATCGCGGTAAAATTAGAATGCTAGCGTCATTGACTGCCGCCACCGAACAGTTCAAATGTTGCACCCTTGGTGGTACCAGTCACCAGTAGCGTACAGGTGCACCCTTTGGCCCTTCGCGATTCTGTATTTCTTTCAGTGAGCATTCGCGCATTCACAAGATGGTCCGCCAGCACAATGATTCATACCGTTTCAGAAAATGATAAAGCGAGATAAGCGAGATAATTATTCGTCGGAAATGAATGTATCCTCGGGCATTTTTCGAGTGATTGTTCTCGAAAATTTGGCATTTTTCAAACGGCCGCTAGTATTATCAACTTTTGATCGGATCGGTCGGTCGGTGGCGCACGTAACTCGAAGGTCGTGTTCTCTCGAATCGATCGTACACCCTATACTCGGTGTTCCACAGCGGGGGAGGAAAGGGAAAAGGAAGAGGGGAGGGAGTCTCGCCGAGGGGGTTGCCGCCAGTCTGTCGGTACCGACAATCGGTCAGCCTCCTCTTCCGGATCGATGACGCGTCCGACCTCAGAATCGCTGACGCCAACGCTGAAACCGCTCTCCTTGACCGAATGTCGTAGGATTGAACGACGAAATCCAATCCCGTCGTACTTTTTACGAGCCCTCCATCTCATATTACGGGAAACATCATGCAAGATCCGTACAAGACACTGTCGCTTATCCACGTTGCCTCGTCTACATCGTGCATATCCTGGACTTTCTTTGTCAAGTTCCTGTTTGAACGCGTTGCTCAGTGTATAGATTTACGATATTAGTGTGTGTATGTGTATGGACTATCACGATATTTTATTGATAACTGATGCAATATTGATGATTCAACTATCACAATCCTCATATATTTAGCAATCGCAATGTATCTTGTATCATGGTACGCGGCTCACGCGGTTTCTTCCTTCCTGGTAAAATTCATACGGTTTCTTTATTGCCGATTGACATCAGACTTGTGCTTTGACATGTATTTGACATGCATTTCTTTTGGACGGTACGCGAAGCTTTATATCCTTAAATGTCTTGTGATTCTTTTTCAATGAACGACAAAAACTCGTGCTTAGGCGTGGTGATCGGTTCTCACAATCTTCTCAATAACGATGCTAACAATCTCTCGCAGTCCTTTTCGCTTTGTTGACAATACTGGCTTACCAGATTTTTGTGCCTCTCTCGCTGGCTCACGATTCTCACCGATTTTCAGACCGAGCTCACAGAAAAGCGTTCATGTCGCACGAATTGATCACTCCCGAGCGGCCCTTTCTAGATTGCGGACGATGATTGTTTCATCCACACAGTGTCCTTTTTGGATAGAAGAATGTCCAAACCGAAAACGCGTTTTTCTCCCGTTAACTTATGACGAATCCCCCAATGTATACACAAAGATATGCACGCGCTCGTCGAGAGCTCATCGCTCTCCTCCGCGCCTCCCTTCGTTATCGAATGGCCATACCACCGCGCAAACTCTGTCCCCGTTCAACCCTCACTTGCCGCCATCAACCTTTCGCCGCGCGCATCCAGCCTCGCACTCCTTCTCGCTACGATCTTTACGTATCGCTCTTTGTGCCAGTTTACGAAGGAGAAAGAAAAAAATTGTCGTATCAAAAATAAACGACGGAGCTATCGTCGTTGTCAAACGAGAGGATTCGAACAGGCTGTTGCCCGTACGTCGATGTTGCCTTGCCGTCATCGTCGTCATCGTCGTCATCGTCGTCATCGTCGTCATCGTCGTCGTCGTTATCGTTATCGTTATCGTCGTGTTTCCGAGAACTCTCGCGCAGTCATGTATTAAGTCGATTTCACGCGAACCATTTGTCAGATGTTCTTTTCGCATGTGACTGATTAGTTTTCGATTGCACAAGATCTTCTATCTCTTTTATACTTCTCTGTTGATCTACTTTGTGATCGTGCTTATACCATGTGACATTGTTCCGTGTGATAATGTTCTTGCCACAATCTGTGCTTCGCGTGTAACATGCACTTGAACCCGGGGTTTCACACGAGATGCAAGTAATCGTATATTAAGTGGAGCACCAATAGTCGTCTGAATAATACCTTGATCTTGAAATATAAATATCACTCTAGTTGATTATTTTTAACATTACGAAGACATATTTCTTATGAATATCTAGCAATTGCGAATATTTATCAATTGTCGTGCCAATTCTGGTCTTTTTAATTTTGGAATCTATATCCAGAGATTGTCGAATTTTGCTATATTAATTTTTTTTATTCATTTGATGCCTACTAACGATCTCTTATGCAAACATATTTATTTATTATTTAAATTATCTGCTGATTAATCAACGAAGCTTTTAAGTATTTTCCGAATTAAGAAAAGAAACTTGATCACATCGTAGATGTTTTCGTGCGTAAAATAAGCAATTACAAACGAGCAATTACAATGCAATTATGTGTAACTTTGACGCACTTGTATATTTGATTTTCTCGCTAGATTTAACGTACATACACGTTCGCTCTCGACGATGAGTGTATATATATGTGTATGTATATATACGCACACATATATATATATGGCCTTCGAAAT